TGTGCAACTAAACAGTTAAATTGGCTGCAAAACAATCGACAATCGCACACCAGTCATAAAAGTACGGTCACAATCATAAAAAAAAAGAAAACAATTCAAACGTCATTAAATAGTTATTACATACAGATAAAATAAACTACCAAACAAGTTACCCGAAAAAACATATTTCTTACCCCAATATTGGGGTAAATAAACTACACCCTGGCAACACCGGAAGAGGCGACGCGGCGCGTTTATGCCAACTTCCGGCGACCATTACCCCGCGCCCGAAACGTTTTCCCGCCTTATTTCATTTTTATTTTTTTCGGTTCACCTTTATTGCTTTATTTTATAGTAAATGCGATTTATTTCTCGCTTCCTCGCACGTCGAAGTTACAATATGTAAACAAAAAGGGTTCAATTATTTTATAGTAAACTTTAAACTAAGTTTTACTAGTTACTTTTTGAATATACCAGCTTTCCCCCATGACTCCGTCTGCGTAGAATTGACAAAACAAAAGTAAGTATCCTGTGTTCCAGATTAACCTCTACATGTATATAGAGATCCGTTCAGTTTAAGATACAAACTAACAAACATAAAATTAAAAAATATAGCCCATGTTACTCACTGCAAATGTAGCTTTCTAACGGTGAAAGAATTTTTGAAATCAACCCAGTAGTTTTTGAGTTTTTTCACTAAATACAAAAATCAAATATTCTCTCTTTATCATTTTAATATAGAGTAGCTGTTAGTCGCAAATTCGCTCTCGTGAAATTAAAAAAAATAAAAAACATAGCATATGTTACTCACTGATAATGTAGCTTTTTAACGGTGAAAGTATTTTTAAAATCGACCCAGTAGTTTTTGAGTTATATCAATACATAAATACAAATGTAGAAATATAAATTGAGAAAGGTAAATACGAAATGGTGAAATTCAACATTCCACAAATATACAAATAAACTAAGCAAAATACTTTGTACAGAATAGAATAAAGAAGCGTTCTTCCGAGTCGATACACAACTAAAGGAATCTATAAATCGAAGTTTCCAGGAAAGTCTTTGAAAGATCCAACTTTGGACATCGAATACAAACGGACAAAAGACTCCTGTCTATCTATACCTATACTAATATTATAAAGAGGAGTATTTTTGCATGTATTGTAGTAACTCAAAAACTACTGGGGCAATTTCAAAAATTCTTTCACCATTAAAAAGCTACATTATCAGTTAGTAACAAAGACTATATTGTTAATTTTTAATTTCATGCCAGCGAAGTAGACTAGCTGTTGTCTACGCTAATATTATTAAGAAAGATTATCTATCTTTGTATGTGTTGAAATAACTCAAAAACTACTGGGGCAATTACAAAAATAATTTCACCGTTAGAAAGGTAATTTATCTGTTAGTAGCTTAGGTCTTTTTAATTTCACGTCGTCTCGAGCAACAGCTAGTCATAAATATAGAGGACAGTCTGAAAGATTGCAAAAGCAAGTAGAGATAAAACATGCTAATATTAATGCGATAATATAGTTGGATGTTTGTTAGTTTGTAGCCTAAACTGCTGAACGGATCTCAATGAATGTCATAGAGGATAGTCTGTAAGAACACGTGTCTACTTTAGTTATTTTTAAATTCACACGTATGGAGTCGCGGGAGAAAGCTAGTAACTGATATAAAATAGAGGTCATCCTTTTGATTCTGAAACTCATCGAACTTTGATCTTAACATAAACAAAAACATAAATTAGTTTCGTCTTCCATAAATGGTAAATACTACAGGACTTTAACTAGGTATGTTACCGATTATTTATGATAACGGACAATTTGTAACTTGCCTAAGCTATGAACAATCTACCGTATCGATTTTTAGTTTGTTATTTGAATGCTAGATAAGTAAGGCATACTTGCAAGCCAGTTACTATTAAAGCCAGCGACAAGCATGTGTAAACGTTAAAGTAACTTGAGGGAAGGGTCTATGAAGTTTAACACTGATAAGTCTCATATTGATGGATGGATTTTTAGTTGTGCGACTAGTCAGTTGACAAAAAAATCGCACAACGGTTGTCCGATTGTTTAGTCAGAGGTGTGCGCCCGCTCTAAACTGGCATGTGTATTTCCGCCTTTCTATATTTAGTCGTCTCTACAAATTAATACAACTAGCTGTGTCTTGCGATTTCGACGCTGTAAAAAAAATTATATACCCTAACTCATTGATAACGTAGCTTTATATTGGTGAAAGATTTTTAAAAATGGCCCAGTAGTTTTTGACTACAACACAAACAAATATACAAATCTTTCCTCTTTATATAAGTGTAAAATAAATAAACGGAATTCACAATTTGCCTGTAACATAAAATCCGTAGGCCGTTTTACAATTTAAATGTGAAACGTTGGAAAGCCCCGAAGCTATCAAATACAAGTTTCGCTTCGAATTGTTATTGGCACAGACTAATCTGTTTCGAAACGTTTCTCAATTACAAAAGTTACTCTGTTTCTTAAATACTCTGTGTAATATCTTGTAATGAAAAAAACATACAGACGAATTGAGTACCTCCTTCTTTTGGGAAGTCGGTCAAAAATGGAAAGATTTGTATTTTCGTAATGCGATTCACATAAAAACTACTGGGGCAATTTCAAAAATTCTTTCACCATTACAAAGGTAATTTATCTGTGAGTAATATAGGCTATATTTTTATATTTTCACGAGAGTAACAATGATATTTTATGCGACGAGACGATGGGGACATAAACCAGAAAGCGTTAAGAATGAATGTGGATGGCTACAAAGGAAGAGGAAGACCGAAGAAAGTATGGATGGATTGTGTGAAAGGGGATATGCTTAAGAAAGAAGTGGA